AAACGGTTAATGCAATATTTTTGTTAAACCCCTTGAATTAAAGCTGAAAGTCTACGCTTCAGTCACATCTTGACTGCTTCATTTCAAATCCACTGTGGTGGTGTACAGAGGCAAAATTACCAAAACTGTGTCACTGTCCCAATATTTATGGACCTGACTGTATATATGTGTGTGTGTGTGTGTGTGTGTGTGTGTGTGTGTGTGTATATATATAATGTAATACAGAGATCAGTCAAGCGAAGATGATGCCACAAGTGACTTTTAAATGGCACAAGTTACTGGTTATGAGACAGAGACTGACGTGGATTCTGAATCAAAGTAATAACTCATTTCCCAAGGCATTTTCCTGAAGTAGATACAGTGATAAATGTACAAGTAGGCAGGGGATCGTTGTATAAAATCTTTCAATGCAATTTTCATGTCTTTCATTACTTTAAATGTCTTTTTCTGAACTACATACATAAGAAGTGAAGTCAATGTGAAGGGTTTTCACAAACACACATACATATATCTAGGACAAAGGTAGAACTATTATTTTACCAACAAACAGAAACATCTGACAAAGATACATGAGGATCATTGGACCCTCGTCCCTGCAAATCCACCACAAAGCAGAGGGACCTGGGTGCCTACTAAGGTGTTATTAGTTGTGAGGGCTTCCTCAAAGGGCAAGCCATTTAAAGAGCCATTTAAAATAGACTTTTAATTATAGGCCCTGTCTCTTCCTCTGTTAGTGTAGGAATAGTATGTGACTCCGCAGCACTCAACACTCAACAAGCATGACCTTGGCTGAATCACTTTTTGCTACATTTTCCAGTTTATGTTAAGAGCCTGACTACTATTGAAAGACAGTGGGAAGAAATAAAAAAAAAAAGGAATAAGAAAACAATTAACTGACTGGGTATTAGCAGTCCATTTAGATCAGTAACATACTATTTATTAGAATTAAAAAATTATTAGAATAAAGTGTCTGGTGTGAATTGGCCTTTAGACTTTAATAGTGACAAGTATAGTGGCAAGTTTTGTTTGATTTCAACTACACAAATTTCTCATGCATAGTTATTTCTCGTGCAGAAATTTCACCCCTTCTATCCCTCAGGGGCAGTACCTTCTAGTACATGTGCACACATATGCAGACAGCTTCCAACGAAGTCATGAAGTGACTTATGATGATAGTATTTGTGATATCTATCACTGTAGTTGCAAGTCTCCATCTACAATAAATGTGTATGTGGCGGGGCACGCGGTGCATCACACCACCACAAATGGCATGTTTTTGTGGGCTCAAACTTGTACAACCTTTCTGAAAGGGGCAAGGCACCTCAATCCACCATGATTCCCCATGAATCCAGTGTGGGATCTCTGCCCTGTGCTGGAGTCCCTTAAGGCCCCACCTTATGATCCTATGTAAGATGCCAAGCTAAAACGTGTCTCTAAAACCGCCTTTTTGCTAGTGATCACTTCAGCAAAGAGTGGGAGAAGTGCATGCGTTGGCGATAAACTTGCCTTGCATCAGTTGTGGCCAGATGACTTGTGGTTAAACAAAGACCCCTGCCCAAGGTCATATTACCAAGGTATGTAAACCAATTATTTGACCTAGCAATCTTTCATAAAGATGAATCTGGAGTCTTCTGTTATGCCCAGTGCATGCCCTACGATTATACTTTGACCGAACTGTGGCCATACGATCCTCAGACCAACCAGAGACTGGCCCGCTGGGTAGTGGACATCATCGTCATGGCCAATAAGCAGGCTGGATGCTAGGCCCCTACTGAGACATGCCACTCCACAAGAAGCAATTTTGCTGCCTGGGCAACACCATGCACCTTCAAGCTCTACAAGGTTAACTATGCCCATACTGGTGGCATGAGTATGAAACCTTTCCAGTGAGTGTGTCCATCATGACATTGTTCCATACTTTATCTAGGTGATTCTCACCACCCCTGTTGGTTAGAAGAGATGACCAGAGCACTAGATTCTTATATGGTTCAGTGAACCCTGGATAACTGCCAGGGTTCCTTGTCATTTGGAACAAGTGCCAACCCAGGGAAAGCTTCGTGAGAAAGTTCCAGAGAAAGGTGCATGGCTTAATAACTGGAACATTTATTACAAATGCTGCAACATACACCACATTGTGACTTTGTTGGAAGCTTTCAGCATGTGTGCACAAAAGAAGGTATCCTGGTGATTCTCACCCTGGCTGTTATCAAAGGTTCATACGTAACTAGCAGTTACATATGTAACTAGCATTTCAAAAGGTCTCTGCACACGTGGCTTAATGAAACATCAACATCACATTTATTATTCAAATAAGGGGCACGTTTACCTCGAAGAGGGGTTTATACAGTATAATATATTAAACCTTGGAGTCTGAATCACAGTTATTGTTTGTTGAAACTTTAGCAACAATGTTCAGTGACAATTTGACAGCTTTGTTGGCAGAGCAGGAGAATAATGGCCTCCTATGTGCCTTAGCTAATGCACAGGTGCCCACCCCATCACCCATCCTACTGTGCTGCACTAAAGACTTTCTGCCTCATTATCTCCTACAAAACACTGTTAACCAAAAGAAGCTAATGGCTTGAAGATGCATTAAAGATTAAAGCAAAAATAACACCCAAATGGCAAATCACAAATATTGCTTAATATCAAAATATGTTAAATTGTGCATGACTGTATCCATTTAGAGATGAAAATGAGGTAGCAAAGCTATTAAAGACAGAAGGTTATGAAACAACCGAATAGACAGTTGAGAAATCCACCCATAAACAACGATCCAGACTTTTCTCCACCGTGACGCTCTTCAAGGTCAGTGTTTCCCCACAAACGTTTTACTGAGGTACTGCTGAACTGACTTTTAAAAACACCCTTGCAGTCTTGCTGAAGAAGCTAATTAAAAGCTCTATCCCCAGACAGAACATTAAAGAAGCCAGAGTGCTAGGGAGAATCATTCACTGCGGAAGAGGCAGTGTTACAAATGAAAAGAGAAATCATATAGCTGGACCTGGGGAATTAGGAATTACGAGCTACCTACAGAGCTTTGGGTTTAATGGAAAAAGACAAAGTTGTTTTAACACTT